TATATATATATATATATATATATATATATATATATATATATATATTTATTAATAATTTAGATAAGTTATTGATTATATCTCATTTTTCTTTCGCTGCTTGTACGTATATAAATAAACCTTTTATTTAGTTATTAGTTTGTTATTAAGTACCTTACTAAGATTTCCTTAAACAGATGGAGGTTAATATAGAAGTTATCGGATGTTGCCTCCGACCAGACGGATAATGGCTTATAGTGTGCAAAACTGAGACAATTTACGAAAAACAAATTTTTATCGATTTCAAAATCAATACGGTAAGGATTGAAATCAGTATTAAAGGAAAGAGTTTCACATAAAGTTATCAAAAAATATATTTCGTTCCTTTTTAATATTAGTATTTCTTTAATATATCCAAAAAGTAGCAAACTATTTTCTCTTTCCTTATCAACTTTAAGACATACTAATAAATTGAATCGAAACTCCACACCAATATCAACGTATCCTAGAATATGTAAATATGCATGACTTTCGCAATCTTGCTATATAACTGTTTCTACATTAAATGTTTCAGCTCGAAAAGTTGTAGCATCTCCTCTTCCCCATTGAGCACTTTGAGAACACTGGGCAACTCTTATTAATATTTTAGAAGGATTTTTAAAATTATGAACGATTTGAGCTCTTACTTTGATTTCATTATATTTGGCCTCATAACGCATGCAGTTGTACAACTGAAGAGGTTTTGACTATAAAATACAATCTGGATAGTGAGTTAAGTGATGGAACTTATTTATCATATGTACATCAGAGAAAATTCCTTGAATTTTTCCAAGAAATCTCTGATAAGGGCTCTAAGATAAGACATGAGAGAAACTATAACTTGTAGTGCAAAAAATATTTCCATAATTCTTAATAAAAAAAGAATCAATTGTAGATGCTCCTCTCCTATTGGGACCCAACCAGAAATTAAAAAAGAAAATGCACGAAGGAGTCACCATATTTGCATGGCGTTTTTATTTAAAGTATGTCCTTTTTGATGCAATATTTTTTCATTAAAATTTGCTGAAGGCTTATTTTTCCTTTCAACAAAGCCATATGGAAGTAATGCTAATCTATTGTTAAATTCATTGACATTAAACAACTTTAATTTGGAAACGTAATAAACGTAACGAACCATAATCAATTTTAGTATTATTGGTCCAATACCACAAAGAATATCATGCAAAAGATAAAAAATGAGATTTCTACATACATGAAAAAAACAAGATGAATGTAAGCAACATTCTCCATGCATTCCTGTTAAAGTTTTAGCATTATCGCTATATTTAGCACTTTGTAACAAATTTAAGTACTTATTATATATTTGCATATTCCTTCGTTATTTAATTTCTGTGTTTACATTATGTATGTCTTGTCTAAATAGTATAAATATACATTCAACAAAATAAATTAGAAGATGGACCCAGAAAATTGAATACTTCATGAACAGCTAATCCATCTCCATAAAATGCAACTAATAATGCACGCAAAATATATTCTTCTCCTCCTAAAGAAATAAGAACTCCATCATTTTCCAACTTTACAAGATTATTTAAGAAAGGGTTTAATATCTTTTCCATTTTGTGCTTTTTAATATAAATATGAGAACAAAGAAGCAAAACATGAATACTGTTCAGCTCTGAGTTTAAGTGACGTGGAAGATTCTGTATGGTATAATAGAAGACTTCTAACTTATGAATACCAGTCTTGGAACCAAGTGGATTAACAATTTCCAATTCATCATAATATAATTGGATTCTAATTGAATGTTTATGTTTCTGGAAAAAAGGGTGATTTTTTAAATGTTGCCCATCAATGAAAGAGGCAAGAATACCATTACTTGATTCTTTTTCTGCTTCAATTACTGTACGTATATTTTTATTTCTAAGCACCATTGTCAAAGAATCAATTATAAAAACATATTGACAGGTTTCAAAAACTGTTTTTGGCACAAAAGTATCTGTTTTCTTATCGAATATTTTTTCAATACGTATATCCAAAAATATTTCCTGAGGCTCAATATATTCTGTGATACTTTTTAAAGTTTCCATTTGCTGTTCGAGAGTTCTTAAACTTTCGAAATATTTGCTTATTTTAAAAGAATTTAATAAATTATTAACACCAGGATCATTCAGTATTTCTCTAGATTGCATAAATTGCTCAACTTTTATCTTTAATGATGTACATAAGCCATATGTTATTTCTTCATATTCATCAAGGATATCAGTTATATTATACTTCCGGTCATTGAAACTTTAGATTGAATTCTAATTATCATTCTTATTATAGAATCTCTTAAATTAAAATCATCACAAAATTTTAAGTTTTCAACATTTTGTTCGCTTTAAAAAAAATTTTTTATGTAATTTTTATCAATAATTGTATCATTGTCACGCAAAGAATTGAAATTTTTTTTATTTTGTACAGAAAACTGAGGATTATTCTCTTTTCGAGAGAAATAATCCTTTCTTATATGATCTCTTAGAGAGAAGAAATGATGAAATCTTCTATAACATTCTTCTGGACTACATTCAAATCCACTTTTTTGTAACCCTCGTTTTTTTATCAGAGCATGTGTTATTTGAAGATGTTCGGGATCGCACGGGCGCTGAGAGCGCGCCGTGTCGACCCTCTGGAGGTCTCACGCTCTCGAATATTCGAGAAGGACCAGAAGGAAGGGATCACGCTTCCTTCACGTGCGTACGCGAATTCGCAGGCCGCTGCGGACGTCGCGCGGCAAGACGCGCGTCTCACGTGAAGGAGGCGTGTGACAAGTAGACTCGCGCTCGCTTTTTCTGGCAAACTGTTCTGCGGGCTGCGGGCTCGCGATGTCGCGAGCCGCGGCTCTCTCGCCGTTGTGCCACGCTTCAAGACGCATGAATTCTGCGTTACTGTGCTCTTCGCATTATTGCCGCATGTGTCTGCGACTGGTCGCTGGCCATCGCAACACTCGCTTGCTTCTCAGTTGATAAGTTGTTATTGTATGTGTGTTCAGCTTGTAGTATCCGTTGGTGCAATAAACTCATAGTTGTCTTATAACGGTCCATTCTATTCGCTCGGTCGCTTACTGAACATTTTCTGGTCCTTCGAGCCGGATTAGCTGGAGTGAAGTGAACCCGGTACCTCTCGCTGCGTTCCGAGCGACCGTTTGTGCCGTCGGAGCTCTGCTTGTGCTCCGCACGATTGCTGATCGCTCCGTGTGGCAAGCGAGAGTTCCTCGTGCCGTCGGACCTTGCGCGTGTGGTGGTCGAGAGTTCCTCGTGCCGTCGGACCTTGCGCGTGTGGTGGTCGAAAGTTCCTTGTGCCGTCGGACAGTGAGATGGATGCAGACGCGTTGATCCGTGCTCAAGTCGAGTTGCACAATCGTCTCGCTCGTGCATTCGACAATTACAAGAAGATAGGCGCCGCCAAGGTTACCCGGGGTGTCATCAAGGCTCGCATTCAGCTGATCGACTCTTACTGGGACAAGTTTCAGAGAAACGACGAATCCCTTCGGGCTTCGCACTGGGGCGCTGTGGAGAAGCACGAATACGTCACGAAGGATTTCGCGGCGGCGACGGAGGAAATCTATCTCCAAATGAGAGGTACATTTGATGATCTTCTCGACACCACGCGTTCCGCGCCGGCATTAGACGAGTCGGGACCGGGCGTCGCCGTGCAAAATGTGTCGCGGACTTCGTTGCCGCGCATAACCTTGCCGACCTTTTCCGGGCGTTTCGAGGACTGGCCGTCCTTCAGGGACCTCTTCATGTCCATCGTCGGTCGCGATCAGTCGCTCAGTGCGGTGGAGCGACTGCACTATTTAAAGACGAGTGTGCGTGGCGAGGCGGAGCAGCTGATCCGGTGTTTCGCGACGATCGACGAGAACTTCAATCGCGCGTGGGCCACTCTCTCCGAACACTACGAGAATCGGCGCTTGCTTGTCAACTCGTACTATCAAGCATTTCTCACGCTACCGCGAATGAAAGGCGAATCGGCCGGAGATCTGCGGCGCGTGTATCACGGCATGACTGCCGCCGTTGGATCGCTCGACGGAATAGGTCGTTCGGTGTTCGGCTCTCCCGATCTCTTTGTGCACATCGTCGTGAGCCTGCTCGATTCAAGGACGAGACGCGAGTGGGAGCTCGCGATCGGGGGCACCTCAGAGCCTCCGTCTTACGAGACTCTGAGGAAATTCTTGGAGACCCGGCTCCAGATGCTCGTCGCGATGTCACCGGGCGGGGTCGGCGTGGCTGTTGCGAGGCACATCGAGGGCGCGCCGCGTTCCGTCCGGACTCATCATGCGCAGAGGAACGTTAAAGCGGAGCATTGTGCCCTATGCTCCAAGGGACACTTCCTTCTTTTCTGCAACGCGTACTTGAAGAGGCAGCCGCTCGAGCGTCGGCGAGTGGTTGAGAGTGCAGGACTCTGCCATAACTGCCTCGGAAGGCATACCGTCAGTGAGTGCCGATCGTCTCGGACGTGCTCCAGCTGCAACCTGCGGCATAACTCGACGCTGCACGAGGCGTTTGTCGAGGGAGCGCCGGGAACGACGGTCGCCGCGGTGTCTACGCACGTCGTGCGGCGGTCGCGATCCGCGCCCGGCCGAGTGCTTCTGGCCACAGCGCGCGTCCTCATCAAGGACGGTCAGGGGGTGTCGCATCCGGCGCGCGCCCTGGTAGATCCTGCATCGGAGACTTCCTTGGTGGCCGAGTCACTCGTGCAGCGACTACGTCTTGCTCGCATTCGCGTGTCGGTGTCGATTGGCGGAGTGGGGGGCAAGCATGCCGATCCCGCTCGAGGCTTGGTGAGACTCGATGTCGGCTCACGTTGTCGTGACGCGCAGCTCAAGGTCGAGGCATTGATCTTGCCTCGGATCACCAACTACGGCTGCAGAGCGGAGATTGCTGGGTCAACGTGGCCACATTTACAGGGACTGATGCTGGCGGACCCCAACAGCGGAGCTGGAGACCCAATCGAGCTGCTCTTGGGAGCCGATGTGTTCCCTGCGATTCTCCTGGCCGGGACGCGCAGTGCGGGGCCCCAGGCTCCGGTCGCGCAGGAGACCTTTCTGGGGTGGATTCTGACTGGTGCGGCTGAACGTCAGGAGGGCGGTTCGACGCTGTCGGTCCACGTGTGCTCAGTGGAGTCGGAGCTCCTCAAGCAGGTGCGCGCATTCTGGGAGCAGGAGGAGCTGCCCTCCTCCCCCAGGCCTCTGTCCGTGGAGGAGCGGCGCTGCGAAGAGTATTTTACTCGCACCGTCATGCGGGACGCGGACGGACGATACACCGTTCGCCTTCCGGTGACGAACGACATGCCGAACTTCAGTGCATCTCGCCGTGCTGCAGCGGGGGCACTGAGAGGAATGGAGCGTCGGTTCCGGACGGATGCGGAGCTGCAGCGTCTGTACACTGCGTTCATGCGCGAGTACGCCTCCTTGGGCCACATGCGGCCAGTGCAGCCGCCAACGGGTCCTCATCCCGCTACTTGTTTTCTGCCGCACCACGGAGTCCTGAAGGTGTGGGATGCTGGATCCAAGCTGAGAGTCGTGTTCAACGGCTCGTGCAGGCTGCCGTCGGGCGACACACTCAACCGGCACTTGCTGGTCGGGCCAAATCTGGTGCCATTGCTGGCCGATGTGCTTCTCCGCTGGAGGCAGCATCGGTTCGTCTTCGTGACGGACATTGAGAAAATGTATCGTCAGGTTCGTGTGCACGAGGACGACCGACGGTTCCAGAGGATCCTGTGGCGGGAGAGCGACCGGACGGACATCCAGGAGTTCGCTCTGTCCACCGTGACGTATGGACTTGCGTGCGCACCATACTTGGCGGTGCGCGTCCTCCAGCAGCTGGCTGGGGATGAAGGAAGTCGATTTCCCAAGGGCGCACTCGCGCTCGCTCGGGATGCCTACGTCGATGACATACTCTCAGGGGCCGACTCACTTCCGGAAGCAGTGGAGCTGCGCGACCAGCTGTCGCAGCTTTGTGTCGCAGGCGGCTTCCCTTTGCGCAAATGGGCAGCCAACAGTAAGACGCTCCTGGAGGGCGTCCCAAAGGACCACCAAGCCGGGCAAGCAGCAGTCACCTGGGAAAGCAGAGAGTGTCACTCGACGCTAGGCTTGCAGTGGCACGCGGGAGACGACTATTTCTGTTACAGAATAACTACGTGGGCAGAGGGTCCTGTGACCAGGCGTGCGGTGCTCTCTCGGACTGTAGGGTTGTACGATCCGCTGGGTTGGTTGGCTCCCGTGATAGTGCGAGCCAAAATCTTTGTGCAGCGAACGTGGCTCCTGCAGCTGGAGTGGGACGACCCGCTCGGTGCAGTTCAGGCCGAGGAATGGCGCACATTCGAGCGAGCATTGCCTGTGCTCGGGGAGGTCCGAGTGTCACGTTGGCTTGGCACTGCGGCGACCGTGGGACAGCGGATCGAGCTCCACGGCTTTGCGGATGCGTCGGAACAAGCCTATGCAGCTGTCGTCTACGTGCGTGTGGTGCATGAGGGTCGGGGTGCCGAGGTGACACTGGCGTTGGCCAAAACACGCGTCGCGCCGTTGAGACAGATTTCACTGCCTCGACTTGAGCTCTGTGCTGCGGTGATGTTGGTGCGCCTAGTGAGCCATACGCGGCGAATCCTGACACTGACTACAGCGCCCGTATACCTCTGGTCGGACTCTACTGTGGCCTTGGGGTGGATTCGGGGTCACCCGGCGAGGTGGACCACCTTTGTTGCTAACAGGGTGGCCGAGGTCCAGCAGTTGCTGCCCGACGCTCGCTGGCGGCACGTGGCTAGCGGAGACAATCCAGCGGATTGCGCTTCGCGGGGCCTCGCTCCTCGGGACCTAATGGCGCACTCCCTGTGGTGGAGCGGCCCAGACTTCCTCACCAGCGGGACCATACCGAGCTGCGTGGATCCTGAGAGCTTCAGTGACGACCTCCCGGAACAGCGGCGTGTCGTGCATTCGGTGTCTGCGACGCAGGAGAACGAGTTGCTTGCTCGTTTCTCGTCGTGGCATCGACTCGTGCGAGTCACGGCTTGGCTGCTGCGTTGGCGGTGGGACGCGACGACTCGCATGAGGGGACCGCTTGCCCCGGAGGAGCTCCAGCGAGCACGGGCAAGGTGGATCACCTTGGAGCAGGCGGCAGCGTATCCGGCGGAGTTGGCTGCCTTGAAGTCGGGGACGACTCTGCCAGCGCGCAGCTCGCTCTTGGCGCTGAGTCCGACCTGCGATGGAGTCGGCGTGTTGCGTGTTGGCGGGCGGCTGCAGCGCTCGGCAATCGGGGATGAAGCCCGTCACCCCATTATTCTCCCTCCACGCTCGCGTGTTACAGGGCTCATCATCGAGGCATTCCACAGGCGGGCTTTGCACGGAGGACCGCAGCTCACACATGCACTTTTGAGGCAACAATTTTGGATTCCACGAGGAAGGCTCCTCGTGCGACAGGCGATCCATCGGTGTGCGATCTGTGCCAGATGGCGGGCGGCAACACCGCAGCCCCTCATGGGGGAGCTGCCACATTCAAGGGTGACACCGTCGAGGCCCTTTACCTTCACGGGGGTGGACTACGCCGGACCGGTGTACGTGCGCACTGCCAAGGGCAGGGGACATAAGGCGCAGAAGGCGTTCCTCTGCGTATTTGTCTGCCTTTCCAGCCGGGCCATACACCTCGAGGTGGCCTCGGATTACACCTCCGACGCCTTCCTGGCAGCCCTCAGGCGTTTTGTGTCTCGGAGAGGGATGTGCCGCGAACTGTGGTCCGATTGCGGCACCAATTTCGTCGGCGCGGATGCTCAGCTGCGAGCGCTCTTCCGCGCTGCGGGACGTGAGGCCGCTCACATCGCAGACCAACTTGCTACCGAGGGGGTGCGGTGGCGTTTCAATCCGCCAGCTGCACCGCACTTCGGCGGAATCTGGGAGGCGGCGGTGAAATCCGTGAAGCACCATCTACGACGCGTCGTGGGCGAGGCGACGCTGACTTTCGAGGAGATGTCAACACTCCTGGCTGAGGTGGAAGCATGCCTCAATTCCAGGCCGCTCCAGGCATTAACAGACGACCCCGAGGACCTCGAAGCACTCACTCCGGGGCACTTCCTCATTGGAGCGCCGTTAGTTTCTCTGCCTGAGCCGACGCTCGATACTGTGCCTCCTGGCCGACTTACGCGGTGGAAACTGTTGCAGCAAATGCGGGACCACTTTTGGCGACGCTGGTCTATGGAGTACGTGACTGCGTTGCAGCCACGACCGAAGTGGAGGAGGTGCGGCTACACACTGGGCGTTGGGCAACTTTGCCTTGTGCGCTCTCAGCTCACACCTCCATCGCGTTGGCCGTTGGCGCGGGTGATCGCCGTGCATCCGGGAGCGGACGGTCACGTGAGAGTGGTCACGGTGAGGACCGCAACCGGTGAACTCACGCGGCCGGCCGTGCGGATCGTGCCTCTACCCGGAACCTCAGGCGACGTCGAGCCTGAGCCACCGCAGGACACCAAAGAAGTCAAGTGAACCTTATCAGATCTCTTCTTTAGTTCTCAAAGACTTCAGCCTATTGCTGCTCGCTGGTGTCAAATCGATTGCGATTTGTTTGTTTTCTCGCGCTTATTCGCTATTGTTCCCTGAAAAAGAAAGGGGAATTGTTGTTTCGCGAACGCTTACCGCGTCTCAACAAGATGGCTTGAGTCGCGGACACGCAGTTGCCGCGCACGGCAACCGCACCCGCCCCTGAAGGGGGGCACGTCCGTCACGATCGGTGGGAGCACCACCGAGGCGGGCGGGATGTTCGGGATCGCACGGGCGCTGAGAGCGCGCCGTGTCGACCCTCTGGAGGTCTCACGCTCTCGAATATTCGAGAAGGACCAGAAGGAAGGGATCACGCTTCCTTCACGTGCGTACGCGAATTCGCAGGCCGCTGCGGACGTCGCGCGGCAAGACGCGCGTCTCACGTGAAGGAGGCGTGTGACAAGTAGACTCGCGCTCGCTTTTTCTGGCAAACTGTTCTGCGGGCTGCGGGCTCGCGATGTCGCGAGCCGCGGCTCTCTCGCCGTTGTGCCACGCTTCAAGACGCATGAATTCTGCGTTGCTGTGCTCTTCGCATTATTGCCGCATGTGTCTGCGACTGGTCGCTGGCCATCGCAACACTCGCTTGCTTCTCAGTTGATAAGTTGTTACTGTATGTGTGTTCAGCTTGTAGTATCCGTTGGTGCAATAAACTCATAGTCGTCTTATAACGGTCCATTCTATTCGCTCGGTCGCTTACTGAACAGAAAATGTTGACTTAAACCATTCAACCCTCCCTTAATAGTATTGCAACACATAAAGCATTGTAAGATCTTCATTGATATTTATATTTTAGTTAGATTTTCACTTAGATTTATATATGTTTGCAATAATATCCATAAGCATAACTTGTACAGTACTTTCATCGCAAGCAATGAGTATAAAATATAAATTAGAATAAGCTGACATATACTAACCTTCAAACGTTTTTCGTGTCTCTACATCTGTGAGTTCCTCGATTATTGCTCCTACATCTTTAATCGACAAATTTGTGATTCGATCCATTTCAACTTTCAATTTATCTAATAAAATGAAGAAGTAAAAATTATAAATAATAGGAAATACACGCCGGTGACTATTATATAACAACCCAGTAAGCAAAAAATCATTAATATAACGTTACTACAATGATATTCAAGAACCTGTAATATTGTCAAATATGTAGTGTTTAATATTATATCAACTTTCATTATGAACATATTTTGGCCGCGATTTGGAAGTTTCAATAATGTTGAAAAGGCTTGCCATAACGTTTTAATTGTGAGAAATATTCTTAAGATATTGCATTAATCTCAAATAAACGTTAAAGTAACATTTGAAAAATATATTTTTTGTAATGTTTTTAAAACGTTTAAACAACATTCAGAAAAATCATATCGCAAAATAACATGTGAAAAATATAAATGCAATATTATTAAAAAATGTCCAAATAATGCACATGAAGTCAAAGTTTCTAAACGTTAATTTAATGTTCCTTGCTTACTGGGAATTCACTACAAGAATTTCGGGATAATCATGATAATGAGATTTGCCGCAGCAAATAATAGCTACATTAAAACTTATCAAATAATTTAAACTTATCAAATAATCTCACTTGGACTTCTACCACGTAGCACTTTGTACTTCCGACATATCGAAATCTTACATGTTTGCGTTGATAAACCGATAGACTTAAGCAAAAAGCGCGCGACCCGACGGATCAATGACACAGATCAGAAAGTACATGTAAAAAGATCCTCCGAGCGCGAGTTATGATTCGGTCGTCGAGCACGTAGTCGTGCGTCATCGTTTCCGTCATAAAACACCGCGCGGCGCGCATCGAGCGACCAATTCTAGTTTCATGTTACCTCCTCCGTTACACGGTATACTGTATAACCGTCGTCGACAAATAGCGACGCCTATTTCACAACGGCGAATATCGTTATTCACTCGTGGGAGGCCAATATGGCCTTTATTCGTTTTTTCTTTCATACGTTCGCTTCTTTATCTACTTGACCTCGTTTCTCACTTCTTTGAAACTTATATGCCCGATGAAGAGAGAATAAACGACACGCAATTACTAAGTTAAACGGCCTAGATGCTAATCAAGTCGCATTCACCGTTGCTATGACATGCACCGACATGCAATGACTATGGCTGCGTTTCGCAAAGCGCATCATGCGCATAATGCGCTACGTTGGAGCAAAAGAGATATGAGAGTGAGATAAAAAGAAAGGGAGAGTACTCGGGTGATGTTCTCGAACGCATGAGAGCGCATGGACTACACTACCTCGGGAGCTGAGGCAGCCTATGCGCTCTCATGCGTTCGAGAACATCACCTAAGTGCTCTCCCTCTCTTTATATCTCACTTTCGTATCTCTTTCACTCTAATGCAGCGTATCATGCACATGATGCGCTCTGCGGAACGCATCCTATATCAGGCGTCAAGCAACAGAACCTCTTCTTCAAAACCGCGCGATACTGCTTCATTCACTACGTCTATTAACACAATTTTTCCTATCTTTACTAAACGTTTCTTCTAAACGTAGAGTTCAGTTATATATCTTAATATGCAAGATATATACAAATGCGATAACTAAACGCATAATAGATTACCACAAACGCAGAATACTGAACTTGCGTGTGACGAAATATTGCACAGATCTTTCAATGAAATTGTATTGCTAAAATCTGTAACATTTAAAACGGAAGAACAGAGTGCGAGCATTTCCATTGAAAATCAGTAAATAGTTACTGATTATATGTGACATACTGTTTTACTGATTCAAATAGTGATATTTTAACTGATTCACTTTAAGAGAGTATAGGTGTGCAGTGCATCTCTTGAAGAATTGCAGTTCGTATATCCTTGGGTGGGTATTTGATTAATCCATTGCAAAGAATTATCTGTATATCTGAACCAAAAAAACCAGTTTGAAACTTGGTTTTAATATCGCTCCAAGGAACGTTTAGTACGTGTTCGCTTTTGGCGACACTTATACTTGAGAACTTCAGATTCTCCTATTTTTCCTATTTTCGTAAATTGGTGATTCCTTGGTTTATATTATTCAAAATCATGGTCCTTCTTGCTGATCTTCGCTAATGGGCAATATAATATGATATCTTTTGTGATTTTTTATCAGTTTTGCAATTCCCAGTGATAAATCTGTCAACTTAGGTATTTTCTGTCGTTAAAATAATTTAAGGGCACCGGAGTCTAAGGGACAAGCGCTTCTATTGTCTGACCTGTCGAAGGATCTGTTAATTCTTCTGAATTAAATGATATAATTTCTGAGGGAAGAATTTCGGACAGTAGGTGATCGTCATGTACATATGTATGATAAATGTCTTCATCTTCTGATTCTTCAGTATTTTCCTCGAGTAATTGTCGTATAGTCTCTGCATCTTTCGGATCGGTTGGATTCTATTTAGTCTTAGGATTAATTATTTTATACTCTTCTGATGATAAGTCTACCGGATTTCGCGATAAGGCATCTGTGTTTACATTCATTTTACCGCTCTTATAAACAACGTTATAATCGTATTCGGATAATTTTAATCTCCATCGAAGTATCCGCATGTTCGCGTCCTGAACGTTTTTCAACCACATCAAAGGCTTGTGGTTCGTCACAAGAGTAAATTGTCTTCCGTATAAGTACGGTCGGAAATGTTTAACACAGTAAACTATTGCTAATGCTTCTTTTTCATAGGTATCGTATTTAATTTTATTATCGCTCAGTGTACGAGATACGTATGTTATTGGTTGATCTTTGTTAATGTCTCCTTGACATAATATTCCGCCTATTGCATAACCGGAGACGTCAGTAGTTAATATAAATGATTGGGAAAAGTCTGGATATTTCAGAACAGGTTCCTTGTATAATGCGTGTTTTAATAATTTAAAAGATTGTTGTTGCGCGATTTTCCATTTAAATGGCGTGTCATTTTTTAGTAATTGCATTAATGGCCTGGCTAATTTAGAAAATTCAGGAATAAATCTTCTGTAATATCCAGCTAAACCTAAAAATTGTTTTATATTTTTCAATGTTTTGGGCGTTGGAAATTCGCGTACTGCCTCAAGTTTCTTCGGATCCGATTTAATACCTTCGTTACTAATTACATGCCCTAAGTAATAAACTTCCTTTTGTAAAAATTCGCATTTATCCGGTTATAGTTTTAGATTGGCTTCTTTTAATATTCGCATTAGTTTATCAAATTTCTTTTTATGTTCTGCTAAAGAAGAAGCATACAATACAATGTCATCTAAGTATACAAAAATCTCTTGTCCCTGAATTCCTGATAACATTATTAGTCGTCATAGTCGCCGGAGCATTTTTTAGTCCGAAAAGCATACGGTTCAATTCGTAGTGTCCGAAAGGTATGGTAAAGGTTGTTTTATGGCTATCGCGAGGATCCATTTTAATTTGATGGAATCCTGAAGGTAAGACAGACACCGAAAAATATTGTGCTCCTCCGAGTTGATCAAGTATATCAATTATGTTAGGCAATGGGTAAGCGTCTCCGATTTATCATTTAGTGCCCGAAAATCTAATACTGTATGCCAACGTTTATTGCCTAATGAGTCGGTCTTTTTCGGCACTATCCAAATAGGCGTATTATATGGTGACTGAGAGTGTCTAATAATACCGCTATTTAGAAGTTCTTGAACTTGCCTGTCTATTTTTTGTTTATGAATTTGTGGGAATCTATACTATTTAGTATTTATTGGATAATCATTAATTGTTAGTATTTATTGGATAATCATTAATTGTTAGTATTTATTGGATAATCATCAATAGTGTTTTATTACTTGTGTCGAAATTAAGTGTTTCTCAGGCAAATGGAAACATTCTTGATAAGATTTTATAGATTCAATTACACTATTAACTTCGTCGGTATCTAAATGGGTCAAATTAATAAAATTTAATAGTCTATTCAGTCGATCACTATTGTAAGCGTCGATCGAATTT